TTGAATGTGCAATATGATTTACGATAGTGATGTTGGAGAAGAAAGATGACGGGTGATTGTTCAGCGTGGCAGTCTGCATCTTTCTTCACACTGGGTGAATTTATTAGGTAAATATTGTCACAGTGTTCTTAAATATTGAGGGAAGAAAGTCAATGGGTGATTTGGCATTTGATATATTGCTTCCGGATATTCCAAAAGCAGCAATATTTGGTATGAAAACGTGACAACTGATGGATTAAATCAATCATTTTCCAACAAAGGGCTTTATGATGTAGGGAAGGCATTTAAATGCTAATAGCTATGAAAGGAAACACATTCCAAGAGATATTTTTTAAGATTCGTGAATAATTACCTGAAATACATTACACTCTGCTTTGATCATCAGAAAACAGCACTACATAAGCTGATCAATGATGTGCGAGTCCTTTGTGTGAATAGTTAAAAATAATTTCTAGTTACAGCTAGAATATAATGATCAACTTTTTTTAATGTTTTAGTTTACTTTTGATATATTTGCATATTTTATCAATTCAGATGAAAACAATCAAGGCCAAATATTGCTTGAATGTGTCTGCAGTAAATAAAATATCCCAAGACCAGACCAATCATTTTCTTGCTTGCATCCAAAAAAGGTAAAGTTACCTTTTATAGGAAGATAAAATTCCAAAGAGTTTCTTAGCTAATTGTTAAATTAGTCATATGGCTGTTTTCAAGGTGAATTTAGAGGTTTGAAGAGTACATGGTATCTCTGTTGCTTCAAACAAGTCTTTATTGGAGCAACCTTGAACGAACAAGCACAGTGCAAAATGCAAGGTGACAATAAGCAATCATTCTGGTCCCTGATTTTAACATTTTTTCTTGTTTTCTGAAAAGGGCTCAAAAGTCACATGCTTATAAACAAGTAATTAAATTCACTTGGCCTGAAGTCCATGATTATGTCATAAACAGTTACACACAGGAAACCTTTGTCCGATAGTGACTTGTGTTGAAATGTTAATGGCTATAAAAGGAAACGTATTATACTCAGAGATTTTTCAATGGATTATCAATTACCTTTTTTGATTGTTGGCATTTCATTATTTCATTCAACAACTGGCAGTGAGCCCCTCCTATACTTCCAAGGGTGGTCAGTAATACTCTAAACTGCTGTGTAAAGTTGCGGCCCTGTACTGCGCCAGGATCAGCTGATTGTGTGTTCAAGTTCTGTATTTGCTGTGATTATGGCTCTTGGTTTATCAACACTGTAAGTATCCTAGTTGGTTTCACGAGGAGGCAAATGTTTCTGATCTGCAACATGAGGATTTCCTCCTCACTTTGAGCCGGCACTGTGAGATCTTGCTGAAATACTCTTCAAATAGCCATAAATCCCAGCTCAGTCCTCGTCCACTCTCTTTCATTATCTGTATTTGCCCTTGGATATCTACTTTGCTTGACCTAAAGTTACAGAAACTTGCTAATGGCAAAATGTTCATGTCATATTGAAATTACAAAGGATTATTCATGAGGAGTTTTGTATGTTTGTCTGTTGGATGACGAGGTAGGTAATCAGTCCCAAGTTGATTGAATGGTGATAATCCCAAGCCTTTGGCAAGGGACTTAACACGTAAGTTGGTATACTGTGTATCACTGTCGATAACGCGACCTCTTACCTCCACATGTAAAGCGACCCTGACTCCCTGACCACCACCCTTGTAAAAACCTTCAAAATACAAGGCTAAAGTACATACCCTGTCTATTAACCAATCCTGAACAAAGCACATCACCAGTGCATACACAGTCCCTTAGTATAAGTTTTTATATATCATATTTTATTCAAGAACCCAGCTCCAATAACTGTCCTTGTTCATAGTCTCTAAGAACCCAGCTCCAATAACTGCCCTCATCCACAGTCTCTAAGAACCCAGCTCCAATAACTGCCCTCGTCCATAGTCTCTAAGAACCCAGCTCCAATAACTGTCCTTGTCCACAGTCTGTAAGAGCCTAGCTCCAACAACTGTCCACAGTCTCTAAGAAACCCAGCTCCAACAACTGTCCACAGTCTGTAAGAACCCAGCTCCAATAACTGCCCTCATCCACAGTCTCTAAGAGCCCAGCTCCAATAACTGCCCTCATCCACAGTCTCTAAGAACCCAGCTCCAATAACTGCCCTCATCCACAGTCTCTAAGAGCCCAGCTCCAATAACTGCCCTCGTCCACAGTCTGTAAGAGCCCAGCTCCAATAACTGCCTTCATCCACAGTCTGTAAGAGCCCAGCTCCAATAACTGTCCACAGTCTCTAAGAACCCAGCTCCAATAACTGCCCTCGTCCACAGTCTCTAAGAGCCCAGCTCCAATAACTGCCCTCATCCACAGTCTCTAAGAGCCCAGCTCCAATAACTGCCCTCGTCCACAGTCTGTAAGAACCCAGCTCCAATAACTGCCTTCATCCACAGTCTCTAAGAGCCCAGCTCCAATAACTGTCCACAGTCTCTAAGAACCCAGCTCCAACAACTGTCCACAGTCTGTTAGAACCAAGCTCCAACAACTGTCCACAGTCTGTAAGAACCAAGCTCCAATAACTGCCCTCATCCACAGTCTCTAAGAACCCAGCTCCAATAAATGTCCACAGTCTCTAAGAGCCCAGCTCCAATAACTGCCCTCATCCACAGTCTGTAAGAGCCCAGCTCCAACAACTGTTCTCATCCACAGTCTCTAAGAACCCAGCTCCAATAACTGCCCTCGTCCACAGTCTCTAAGAACCCAGCTCCAATAAATGTCCACAGTCTCTAAGAACCCAGCTCCAATAACTGTCCACAGTCTCTAAGAACCCAGCTCCAATAACTGTCCACAGTCTCTAAGAACCCAGCTCTAATAACTGTCCACAGTCTCTAAGAGCCCAGCTCCAATAACTGCCCTCGTCCACAGTCTGTAAGAACCCAGCTCCAATAAATGTCCACAGTCTCTAAGAGCCCAGCTCCAATAACTGTCCACAGTCTGTAAGAACCCAGCTCCAACAACTGTCCACAGTCTGTAAGAACCAAGCTCCAACAACTGTCCACAGTCTGTAAGAACCCAGCTCCAATAACTGTCCACAGTCTCTAAGAACCAAGCTCCAATAACTGTCCACAGTCTCTAAGAACCCAGCTCCAATAACTGCCCTCGTCCACAGTCTCTAAGAACCCAGCTCCAATAACTGCCCTCGTCCACAGTCTCTAAGAACCCAGCTCCAATAAATGTCCACAGTCTCTAAGAGCCCAGCTCCAATGACTGTCCACGGTCTGTAAGAACCCGGCTCCAACAACTGTCCACAGTCTCTAAGAACCAAGCTCCAACAACTGCCCACAGTCTCTAAGCACCCAGCTCCAATAACTGCCCTCATCCACAATCTCTAAGAGCCCAGCTCCAATAACTGCCCTCATCCACAGTCTCTAAGAACCCAGCTCCAATAACTACCCACAGTCTCTAAGAGCCCAGCTCCAATAAATGTCCACAGTCTCTAAGAGCCCAGCTCCAATAACTGCCCTCATCCACAGTCTGTAAGAGCCCAGCTCCAACAACTGTTCTCATCCACAGTCTCTAAGAACCCAGCTCCAATAACTGCCCTCGTCCACAGTCTGTAAGAACCCAGCTCCAATAAATGTCCACAGTCTCTAAGAGCCCAGCTCCAATAACTGTCCACAGTCTCTAAGAACCCAGCTCCAATAACTGTCCACAGTCTCTAAGAACCCAGCTCTAATAACTGTCCACAGTCTCTAAGAGCCCAGCTCCAATAACTGCCCTCGTCCACAGTCTGTAAGAACCCAGCTCCAATAAATGTCCACAGTCTCTAAGAGCCCAGCTCCAATAACTGTCCACAGTCTGTAAGAACCCAGCTCCAACAACTGTCCACAGTCTGTAAGAACCGAGCTCCAACAACTGTCCACAGTCTGTAAGAACCCAGCTCCAATAACTGTCCACAGTCTCTAAGAACCAAGCTCCAATAACTGTCCACAGTCTGTAAGAACCCAGCTCCAATAACTGCCCTCGTCCACAGTCTCTAAGAACCCAGCTCCAATAACTGCCCACGTCCACAGTCTCTAAGAACCCAGCTCCAATAAATGTCCACAGTCTCTAAGAGCCCAGCTCCAATAACTGTCCACAGTCTGTAAGAACCCGGCTCCAACAACTGTCCACAGTCTCTAAGAACCAAGCTCCAACAACTGCCCACAGTCTCTAAGCACCCAGCTCCATTAATTGCCCTCATCCACAATCTCTAAGAGCCCAGCTCCAATAACTGCCCTCATCCACAGTCTCTAAGAACCCAGCTCCAATAACTGCCCTCATCCACAGTCTCTAAGAACCCAGCTCCAATAACTACCCACAGTCTCTAAGAGCCCAGCTCCAATAACTGCCCTCATCCACAGTCTCTAAGAGCCCAGCTCCAATAACTGCCTTTATCCACAGTCTCTAAGAGCCCAGCTTCAATAACTGCCCTCATCCACAGTTTCTAAGAGCCCAGCTCCAATAACTGCCCTCATCCACAGTCTCTAAGAACCCAGCTTCAATAACTGCCCTCATCCACAGTCTCTAAGAACCCAGCTCCAATAACTGCCCACAGTCTGTAAGAGCCCAGCTCCAATAAGTGCCCTCATCCACAGTCTCTAAGAGGCCAGCTTCAATAACTGCCTTCATCCACAGTCTGTAAGAGCCCAGCTTCAATAACTGCCCTCATCCACAGTCTCTAAGAGCCCAGCTTCAATAACTGCCTTCATCCACAGTCTGTAAGAGCCCTGCTCCAACAACTGTCCACAGTCTCTAAGAACCCAGCTTCAATAACTGTCTCTAAGAGCCCCTCATCCACAGTCTCTAAGAGCCCAGCTCCAATAACTGCCCTCATCCACAGTCTCTAAGAACCCAGCTTCAATAACTGCCCTTATCCACAGTCTCTAAGAGCCCAGCTCCAATAACTGCCTTTATCCACAGTCTCTAAGAACCCAGCTTCAATAACTGCCCTCATCCACAGTCTCGAAGAACCCAGCTCCAATAACTGTCCTTGTCCACAGTCTATAAGAATCCTTGTGCAGGGGCCTTGCTAATCTTCTCTATATTGTTCCAATTTTAGTATATGAACTGCATTAGCAATACTGTGTCCTCCCTGGCTTAAAACCCAACTCACTCTCTCACTCACTCAGTGACCAACATTTACAAAAAGTAATCTTTATAAGTGCCCAGTATCAAATGTTTTTATGACAGTCTGGATTACCTTGTAAATCATACACTGGTTTAATTAAAGGAACAACTGTATAGACAGGTGAGAATATTGTGCAGAGACATTGATTTTTTCACATTGGTATGAAAAACTTTATCATGGCCTGATAAGCCCTGAAAGAGCATGTCAAGAAGTCTGTTTTGAGGGATCCCATTTAGTCTGATAATTTTGTTGTATGTGTATGTTTTAGCATTTATGATCAGTTTTATTAAGTTTCATATTTGTCAAGTTTCAATCCAATATATTGAATTTCAGTTTTCTGAAATCGTGTGGAATTTTGAAATAACACCAACTTACACAGTTATTTTCAACAGCACTGACCAGACAACCTTGTTTGTTGTGTTTTGAAAATTGTCAAGGTTGTCGCCTATTTCATGATCACTCTTTGGTCAATTTCTATCAGTGACCCGACAAGCCATTCTGTACTAGATAAAAACTACCAGGGATCCTCCAACAAATACATATCACCAAAAAAATAAGAAGTGTGACAGTTTTTATCTGTGTGCATTAATTGTTACAGATAAATCTCTATTGATCTTTGAACTGAACAGTCATTGAAATAATAACATGGGGCATGTCTCCTGAATCACCGGTAGTGCAGAAGAGCAACCATATAACACATCAGTCTGATTGCTGTTTCCTGAGTTCAAACAGGAAATATCACTAGATCATATTGATTATAACTTTTAAGAAATGCTCACTTTAATGGGAAACACTATTTTTAGACTTAAGATTGTCAATCGACATGTCTAGTAACCAATTACTGCAACAGTTTTAGTTTCATCAATTTTTAATCTAAATTTGTTCTCTTCCGCTTGGAGGGTTGTGGGGTAGCCTAGTGGATTAAGAGTTCGTTCGTCATGCCGAAGACCTGGGTCCGATTCCCCACATGGGTACAATGTGTGAAACCCATTTCTGGTGTTACCCGCCATGTTATTGCAGGAATATTGCTAAAAGGGGTGTAAAACTCACTCACTCACTTGTCCCTGAACTCATAATGTATGCTTTCAATGCAATAGTTTATAATTACCCACCTTTGTCAATTTTTCGAAGTGCCAATGGTGCTGTTCATGGAACATATGGTAAAGATGATGATAATGATACAGACAACTTTACGTGCAATACCAAAATTCATAATTGATAAAAAAAATGATGAAAAGGGAAGCAGCCACTTCCAATATGAAGTAATCGTTTTTGTTCTTGTTCGTCTTAAGTACAACGCAAGTCAGGATAAGTACTACATTAATTCTTGTGTGTAATCCCCAATGCCAGACAGGTATGTAAATATCCTTGCTCCAGAATTGGCGGTGCATGCAAACATGATCAGCAAACATATGTCAGAGAGGCCATAAATTTCACTCATGCAAGGACTTACTTGACACCCATACAATCCTTCATACTACATTATGGTGTCTGTCAAAGCATGTGAGGCTATGGGGAAAATCGTGACATTTATACTAATCACTGAACAAGGGTTATGAAACACCATGGATGCAAGTATTTGGCATTTGAGTACAGGGAGTATCTGTTACTGAAAGTGGTGTTCAACTTTACAGGGTGTGATTTAGCCATTAACAGGTTGCACCTTTGCAAGATAAGATTAGTTGGTGCAAGTATCATTTACCAGCAGGTTGCACCCAGTGCAAGTAACTTGACAGCTTCAAAACATAGTAAATGATCATAGCAACGGCGTTAATAATGAAACTAAGTGAGTGAGTGAGTTAATTTTACGCTGCACTCAGCAATATTCCAGCTATATGGCGGAATGAAACTAAGATGTTCGTTTATTTGATTAAATGTTTTTGATTTTTTTATTAAAAATTTATGGTTTTTGTCCTCATTGAAAGTTTCATTAGGAAAATAGAAATCTAAGTATCCTTAAACTCATTTTTACTGTGTCCAAGCCAAGGTAACGTGCATATTTAATTTTACTGTCCAAGTCTGACTCACGTCTCCTATTCTCGTGGGTTTCCTATTCTCGCGGTAAACACGTTTTCTGCCGAAATCGCTGATACGCGACACCTAGCGGTTGTTTACCTTGCCGACCGGTAACTAGGAAGTGGCCCAAGTCTGCGAGTGAACAAAATCTTGCAATGTCACGAATATTGGTGAGTTTTAAAGAAAAGAACCATAACACCTTGTTTGTTATATGCCAGGGGTCAATGATATTTACTCTGTCACGATGTTGCATCTCTATCTAGTTAAAAACTCATACAAAAACATTCAGTCTCCAGCAAAAACATCGTCTGCTACATTACGACCTATTGACACATAGAAATCACATGATTGTCACATGACTTCATTTTCGCGGGCTGTAAAAAGTATGGAAACATTTAAAGGCCATATAACGGAAGTGGGCGCAATCACCGTTGTTAAGCTTTTGTAACCTAGATATATGTGTCGTTTACATAAAATTGAATAGTTTTCTAAAGAGTAATTGATCAAAAGAATATGATATGATATGAATTTCATAATAAAGGGTAAATTTGTGGGGAAAAAACAATAGAAAAGTGACTTCATAAAAAAACAATTGTTTATGTCACGACTTCTACATTCATTACATTTTAACATAGAATTTATATTAATAAAAAGTAGATATAACAAATACCAATGCATATATCGATATCAAAAGGGATTTTGTATTTGTCTTTTAGGGAGCAAAGGGTCCCGGTAGGGTAAAGAAGCCATATGATAAAGACAATCTTCTAAAAGCGTACGAGGCTACCACTACAGGAATGTCAGTCTATAGAGCTTCGCGTGTCTATGGCGTCCCGAGTCAACTTTGAGGGATCGAAACACGATGTAATGTGGCTCTGGGACGGGACACCTGGACCTGATAGACTCTTAACAACTACAGAAGAGGAATCTCTGGTTAACCATGTGAAATACATGGCGGACATTGGATATGGTTACTCTAAGAGCAACATCCAATATCTTGCAGCCGACTATGTCAAGTCAGTTGGCAAATATGTTCAGGCTAGCCATTCCTTAAGTAACAAGTGGTTCTATGGCTTCTTGAAGCGTTGGCCAGATCTGAAGTTAGCCAAACCACAGAAACTGCATTTAGCAAGGGCAAAGGGTGCTTCAAAGAAGTAATAGATAAGTACTTCCGTGAGCTAAAAGCTATTATGACGAGGCATAGCTTCAACAGTTTGCCTGAGCGCATCTTTAACATCGAATTGAAACTGGTGTGAGCACGAACATACTCCATCTAAGGTTGTCTGTGGAAAAGATTCCAACCCCAAGCCATCACATCACCTAGATCAGCAAATGTCACCATCATAGCGGAGCTTAACGCAGCTAGGAAATTATGTTCCTCCTTTTACGTTTTCCCAGGTAAAGCGTTGGTCAGACGATCTCTTGGCCAGGTGCGCCAGTCGGATCCACCGGGAAGATGTCGCGAAACCGGTTGGTCGAATTCAGCCATTTTTGATACCTATGTGATGGATCATCTCGCCAAACATGCTGGAATAAAGGAAGGGAATGCTGTCCCACCTACACTGATCCTTTATGGCGGTCACAAATCACATATATCTCTGACGCTAACCGACTGGGCAAGGAAAAGAAGCGTCGTTCTTTTTGTTCTTCCACCACACACAAGCCATTTGACTCAACCTCTTGATGTTGGAGTATTCGCTCCTTTCAAGAATCACTATTACAGGGAATGTCAAACATACCTTCATAACAACCCTGGGGTATCTATCACAAGATATGAAGTCGCAGCTTTGTCAGCGCAGCCATATATTAAAGCGCTATGTCCAGCCAACATTACCAGCAGCGTTTTTGCAAAGTCGGGGAATCTTCCCGTTTGATCGAGGTGTCATAGGTGAAGCACAGACAGCACCAGCGATTATTTATCCCACTGATGTCTTCACAGAAAACCGGACACGTCTACTACAGCTGTTAAAACAACATCGTCTGTGGTGCGTCCCTCCGAGTTCCGCTGGCACGGTGATATAATTGGTAGTGTCAGCGCTCCACCCGTGACAGTGTGCGAATCACAGTTGTCGACTGATACTTCTACTCTTGCTGGCGATTTTCTCAAAGCGAGGAAAATTAAAACAGTTGTCCAGAAGAAATCCAGGAGGAAGTTTGTTCCACCATACAAGTCCGTCATTGGCAATCTCATGAAGAAGGCAAACACTGACATCTTGAGAAGCAGCGAGAGAAGCAAAAATCTAAACACTTCTCTTCATCTGCATGTAAAAACGAAAGTTTTAGACAGTAATAACAATATGTCATCACGCTAAGGGGAAGTTGTGCGACCTTCTACATCAGGGTTGTGTGTCAACAATGGTGCCATCCCCGTATCTTCGCCGGAAATCAGTGGCGACAGTGATGGCGTCATCTTTCGCAGAGGAAGAAAAATGCTGTGCGCGTGCAACAAGTTTCAACCTCAGGAACTTCGTAGATGTCCCCAAATTGTCTTTGTGAAGTGGGGAAATGCGACTTTTGTCCCCATTGGACTCATCTAGTCTACTGCTCGGAAATTCGAGTTTTAAGACGTCACAGCATATTCCGATGCCCTCACTGTTTATGTGAAGAATGATTGACAAACTTGACTTTTCATGTTAATATTTTCACTTTGATGACTTCTTCTTTGGAATTTATCATTTTCAAGTTATCTTGCCTTATAATACCGACTTGGACATATCAGATCTTTCACCCGTGCTTTCCGACAGGATTGCTCTTCCATACACTCCACAACGTGACTTCTTCGTTATACCGCGAGAATGGGAGAAGCCTCATTTTGTCAATGGCGGATGGCATTGTTTATCACCAGGCTCACGAGTGGTGATTTACCTGATGGATCTAGCATCTGATAGATGTAGATGTTAGAAGAGAAGGCCCATAATTTAAAACAACAAGCATTCAT